GACGACCTACAACTAGCTGAGGGAAGGCGGAAGCTCACCTCCTTTGTCCTGGACCTTGAGGATGCTCTCCTTAGCACCGCCGTCTTGGAAAGCATTCAGCAGAGGTGCCTGAACCGTGAAAAGGGCCCATTGGGCGTATGTGGGAGAGTCGGACTTGGGAAGGGTGCTGTTCACTACCCCCTGGTAGCTGCTCTTGATTGAGGGTCCGTTGATGGACAGGTTGAGCGATGCCATGACGTCGATGCTAAGGAATGTGGTGCATCAGAAGCGAGGAAAAGCGAGGGAAGTAAATAGTGAGGTCTTCCTGTAATGCGGTAGGTTGTTGTTGTCGACAGTTGCAGGTTGGTCCGTCCGAGCCGTTAATTTGAAGTGTACGATTCAAAGGGGCTGAGCGGGTGAGTGCGGTGATGGAGGAGCTAGGTAGTGTAGAGTGCAAGCAGGCTGCCAGGCGAGCGTTCGTATGAATCGATGGAGCTCCCAGGCGGGCGGGCCGGGCTGAGCGGTTGGGTCACAGAAGGTGGGGCCCACCAGAGAAAGGGGAAGGCGCGCCGCTGGGGCGCAACACTTGGGCTGAGGTCATAACTTTACCGTGTTGCAAACCTTCAAGTACGAACCCGTACTGTCTCGTTTTGCCGTTATTGATGCCCCTGTCGTGAGTGACATTGCCTACCTATGAAGCAATCCTCGCACTGTCAAAGCTTGCAATACGATCACAGATCCAGATGGGCAGCAATATCAATATCGACATACCAAATTAGACTACATAGAATCCAGGTATGCAACAAGTGCCTGTACAATAACAAGACCTTCATAGATTGCCCTTGGGGTGAGCTTAGAATGTGAGCAGGCACTTCCCCGACAGAGCTGACTGGAGAAATTAGGCGACAGGGCATCCAATCCGCAGGGCGATCAATGGGTGACAGAACACAAGGAGCGGCACAACATCCGAAAATGAAGCACGAGCGTAGTAGACGGTGCCCAAAGCGGGCTTGTATTATAGCAAAACAAAACAACCTAGGCAGAGATGGATTTTTGGGTATGAAGTTCCCACCACTGCCAATAATTCCCGGTTTAGCCATCCCAAACAATTAGTGAGACTCGTAATCATTTTGGCGTGAAATCAGCCTTCCCTTCTAGGGAAGACCATGAACACATCCTCACTCATAATCCCGTTTCGCCATGCACATGCACATGCACTGCAATCGCAAAGGCAATTGCAATTGCAATTGCAATCCCGTTGTTGTGATCGACGTGGTGCCAGGGCCACACAGTCCCGGCTGTGCTAAAAGTAGAACATTGCAGACCAAAGTCGGCGTCGTCTAGCAGAAACAGTCGACACAATCCGCACACTCTTCAATGGCGCAGCAACAGCAAAGTGCTGCCAGACATCCTTTCATGCAGCCGCCGCCGCCGCTGTGTCGCTGTGGCGGCTGTTGTTGGTACTGCATTGGCTGAGGTTGTGGGTAATATCCCTGGCCGCCTTGTGGAGGACCATAGGCCTTGAGCGCGGTTGTTGTTAGCATTGGATAAAATATAAGCGTTGTGGAAAGTTAAAATGGCACAGGGGAGGCTGTGTCCATACCTGCTGGGGGTATTGAGGACCAGGACCGTAGCCTGGCTGCCCGCCGTAGCCTTGCTGATAGCCCTGGGGAGGGCCCTGTTGATGATAGTAATCTTGTGCAGACATGCTGATTGTCGTCGACGGCTGAAATCTCTCTTTAAGGTTGTTTATTGTATATTGTGTTCGCGACGGTCGTGACTCGATGCGATAGGCAACAAGGGCGCTGGCAGCGTTCAAGTTGACAGGAAGCGGTTGATCGAAGTTGCGGAGAAGTAAAAACTTCGAGTAGTCAGACGGAGAGAACTAACGAGACAGACGTCGGATAGGTAAGTAGGCAGGCGGTGCGATGCTTTTATTATGCGACAGTCCCAGAACCAGGGTCTGCGTCGGAGCAAGCACAGATCAAACGATACGGTAGCCGCTTGCAGAGGGTGCTTCGCTGTGGGGACGGACAACATGCACTCTCTAGGCATTGGTTTTGTAATAAGCACACCGGATGGTCCCTGCCGGCGCCAGAATAGCCCTGGAGGTTGGGGTGGCAAGGGTGGCAGGGCGGCATAGTGGCTCAGAATGCGACTTTAGTGTAGTGTGGCCGAGTATAGCCTATGCCATCGCAGGGAACTACTGGGTAGCGCGTCATCAAGTGGGAGCCACTCTGTACCATTGCTGCTGCCGGGTCTTTGGGAGGCCCGGCGGTATGCTAGGATTGCCCAGATACGGCCTTGAGCACTGCCAACAATAAGCTCGCTACAATGGTGATAATCGGTTGGAACCGAAGCCCGTCGTGGGTGGTGCGAGAACATTGTTCAGGTGATCCGGTGAGGCAATGTGATATTTCTTCGCTTCCGAACCGGCAGATCGGCATGAATCCTAGCGAATTGCGGGATAGTGGATCAACCAGGAACCAGCCACCCGGACGAGATGTCTTTGCACAGCCACTTCGAACGCGTTTATCCGGCCGCTGCACACACCATCGGGCAAACCGGACACGGACACGGAGATCTGCTGCTGTACTGTATTGACAGTCTAGTATGCTATCATTGTACATATTGAGGTGACAGTGAGAATTGCCACGACATGGGACATGAATTCCCCCACGGTTTCAGTGATGACCAGGGGGAGGGTAGTCAGCCAGAACCCCTGAAGGCTGATGGTTGGTTCATCGGTCATCATGCATATTATCCCTTCCTTCTAGAAGGCTTACAGAAGGGCTGTCGTTGGTTGGGTACACTGCCCGACCCAGCTCAGAAGGCCAAGGATGATTGAGCGAGGCGGCTCAACGAATACCTACCTTTGTACTTCCTAGGACTAGCAACTCCAGATCGGAACCTATAGGTTCAAATGGAAGGCTTGCACGTACATGTAAACAGATGCCACGGATGAGGTGCTGCAGCTTGCCAGGTCCGTGGATGATGACGCAAAACTCGGTGAACCAATCAGAGCCTATCGATAGGCAATGGCGGGGCTCCTTCTACAACAGCCGTCACCTGAATCGGAGCCTCCAAAAGTTCAGAGTCATCTCGAGTCCTATACAGAGTAGTTTAACAGCAACGACAAATGAGGGTTTTGAGCAATTCAGAAGATATCATAACTACTTGACGAATACGTGATTCTCTCTCTACTTCTTTAGACCAGTTACACACTCCCGACAAGACTTACGCTGTCAGCCCTCAGGTCAACACCCTCCTACAACACATCCCGACATACCATCACAACCAGCAAAGATGGCTACGGTCAACGAGATCAACAGCTACTCCGAGTGGGACGCCCACCTGGCGTCCCTCCCACCAGCGACCCTCCTCATCATCTCCTTCCATGCCCCATGGGCCGCACCCTGCGCCCAGATGGCCACCGTCCTTAAGACTCTCGCCGCCGAGTACCCCGCCGACGGCTCAACATCCTGGGTTTCTCTAAACGCAGAAGAGCTATCCGACATCAGCGAGAGATACGACGTCACAGCAGTTCCCTTCCTCGTCCTCTCCAAAAATGGCAAGGTCCTCGAGACCGTCAGCGGCAGCAGCGCCATCAAGGTTCGGAGCGCGATTGAGACACACGCAGGCAAGCCAGGCGTGGCAAATGGCAGCAACGTGAACGGGGCATCCGATGCTATGGCCGTGGATGAGCCAGCCGAGAAGGATCCAGCAAAGGCAAAGGAGGAGTTGAACAAGAGGCTGGAGGAGCTCGTCAGGGCTGCGCCCGTGATGCTGTTCATGAAGGGCACGCCCAGCGGCCCCCAGTGTGGCTTCTCGAGGCAGATGGTAGCGCTTCTACGGGAGAACTCGGTCAAGTATGGTTTCTTCAACATTTTGGCCGACGACGAGGTACGGCAGGGCCTGAAGGAGTTTGCGGACTGGCCCACGTACCCACAATTGTGGATTGATGGAGAGTTGGTCGGCGGTCTCGACATAGTAAGTCCTGAACGACGCAAAGTTGATAGGCTTGAATTACAGCTGACACATTGAACCAGGTGAAGGAGGAGATCGAGAACAACCCAGACTATCTGAAGCCTTACAGCGTCAAGGGCAACGGAGAGTAAGCCAAATACAATAATTGAAAAGACAACTACAACTATGGCCGCAGAGGTTGTGAGATGGTTGGAGGCTAGATGGCTTGCAGAGAGCCCTCTCTCACTACTATTCAACCTGGGACGGCGTCGCTATCACCTGTGGTGGTCGTAAGCATGGGCCCAAGAGTCTTCCTCCAGAATATGGGGAGACAGCAGAGCTAGCTGTTAGTAATATAATGATTGCAATGAGGAAAGATTTGGTGTTTGCCTCAATCTCATTGCTCTGCTGCCTTTCCAAGACATAAGACACTAGAGCACTTATCCTACATTGGAGAGCCGGGTCGCAGGGAAGGCAAAGCCTTCTTCAATCATTGAATTAGCTATCGACAACATGTAGACTACAGACTCTGCACTCAGTGAATCCTCGGCGCCGATAAAGGAGCTAGCAAGATATCAGGAAGAAGAGCAGTCTCCCTATTTCCCTGTCCGGTAAGTTGAGGACTTGTTCAGGCAAGCACCAAGATTCATTGTTTTGGTTGACATGGTCTCGTGTCCTTATGCCATCGCTCTAAAGGCGCTCAAATCCTGGGTTGCCAATTTAAGTTCATAGTTTCGAGTCTGAACTGTAGTAAACTACAAACTGACTATCATTAATAAGTAACTATAATCAGTGACTCTAGTTTACTTCCTTGATACTACTAACTTAACTATAGCTACTATTTTTATAACACTGATAAAAAAAACTTAATTACTTCGCTTAAGCTTTCAAGAGAATCTTATTTCATAGTATATAGGAACTAAAAATATTTATATAGCCTTAAGACTAATATAGAATAACCTTATTATAATTAGCTAAACTTAGTTGCTATCAATGAGGTAAATATAAGATGGTATAACTCGGCAAAAGTTGAGGAATATGCAAAAGGGTAAAAAAGGAGTGAGACGAATTTGAATCGCCGACCTACGGAGCTGCAATCCGTTGCTCTACCGCTGAGCTATCACTCCTTTAGTGTTTACAATTAAAGATGAAATGTTTCAAAAATTTGAGAACTATATCCTAGATCTTGCATGAAACAGACGTATATCTGCCACTTTCGAGAGTCCGACCCATTACTTCCTTTCCTTGATTCGCCGTATAGCCGTATAAGAAGCAAGGTCTTTATACCCTTTTGTTTAGTACTATGTATATGCTATTAGTACCGAATTATAGCATATGTCGAATTTTTAATAGGCTCATATACGGTTGTCAATGCTATAGGGATTTCACAAGTAAATTTAGAACGACATCGTAATTAGGGGAGATAATTTCTTTTGAAGTCGTATATTGTCATTTCATGCTCGTGGCTAATGCTCCAAGTCTACCAATTCGTTGCTACCCAGGCTTCAAATGCGTTCACGTACGAAACCGAACGCCATGTGGATCCTTGAGGGAAGTGATGCCGGCTAATCATTTTGTCCGCTTGCAATCCAGACCTATGAAGTATTCGCAACGCATCAGTGTGAAATACTGATCAGTTTGTTGAGTACACTTTCAGATAGGATCCCGATTAGTGTCGACACGCTGGGACGCCGCCCATGTCTGTTCCAATCATTGACACATGCCTATAAGGTGATCACGACCTATTCCCGTTCCGCCCACTTTCATAACTCAGGTCCAGTGTCCAGAGCGAGTCCCAGATTACACTTTTGGTGTTGGAGGGGTTCTCCACAGAGGATGTACCACTTTGCTGTCGTTGCAGCGGCGACTTGCCTGGCTGGCGGCGCGCTGGCAAGGAGGGTAGCCGAAGATGACGGCCCTGCTTATGACAAGAGAGTAATTGTTAGCGAACCAGGCCTCACTAAGGCCCGAGCAGATCATCGATCTTAGTGCGCACCTCGGTGCTCACAGCGCTGCCTGGCGGCCGCTGCTCCTGCTGTTCTGCCGCTGCGGTGTCCTGCAGTGGTGGCTGTGTCCCCTTGGCAGCATCACTTGCCTGCTCAGTGGGCTGTACCGGCTGTCCGCTGCTTTCAACCGGAGCATCAGTCGAGTCTGCCGTTGTGGCTCGAATTGAAGCGGCGTCGCCAGCAAGGACACTGCCCCTTCCCCCACCAATGCCGAAAGGCATGGCCTTCCTGGAACTCGTGCTGGAGCGTCGACTTTCAAGGCTTCTAGAGAGCGTCTTGCTGACCCCATCAATGCCGGTCGCACCACGGCCGACTAGCCCGAGCCCCTTTCCGGACGCCGTTCGGAGTTGGCTACGCTCCGCCACAGCATCGACTTTGTTAGCAGCGACTGTGGTCTTACCGAGCCCTGGCGTCGAGGGCGCACCTGGCTTGTCTTCATTAGCATCAATAAGATACCATCGCAGGCCGTCCGAAAGGTCGAATGGATTGTCGTTCTCTTCGTCCATTGATTCGGTTTCAGCAACACCATTACCGGTGGCCTGGGTACTGAGGCTCTTGGACAAATCCACGACTCGCTCCTGAACGCGACTGATGCGAGCTAGTAGCCATTCCCTGTTACGGAGGCGATGTGCTTCTTGCTCGCGCAGGAAGTAATGTGGAAAGCCGATGTTAAAAGCAGCCCATGCCCCAGTCATCTGGTTGCGCGTTGGCAGGAACAGGGCCAAGTCGCCCTCTTTGAAGTTCTTGAAGGCAATTTTGTCGTTCGCTTCCTTCTGAAGACTGTGGGCTTTGTCGCGGTAAGACCGAGCGTCACGTTGTAGTTTCCGTGCCATGTGTTCGATATCCTTGACCCGCTTAAAAATGGTTTCTGTCAATGTATCCATATCGAAACTGCCCAGTTCTGACATGAAAGCCTCATATTTCGCCGATTCCGTGGCTTGATCCGGATTGTTCATCCAGTGAAGGAGTTCGAGATCACTACTGTCAGGTGTTTGGCTGAGAGTCCCGGACTTTCTGAGGGATGCGCTTGGGTCGACTAAGGAGTCGTTTAGGTTTGCGGCAGAACGTTCAGCACGTGGAATTCTCTGTATAACCATCGTGCCCTCGTGCCGGATGACTGAGAATCCGAGCCTTTCAAGCAGACGGCGAAGGCGGTCATTCTGTGTATAAAGCCTCTGTGTCAGATCTTTCGTGTGTTCCGTTCTCGCCATGAAACGATCAGTGAGCACGCGCAACTGGTCTTGAGACTTCTCAAGCTTGTCTTTGAGGTGGTATAGTTCCTCCTCTAGGCTTCCAATTTGGGATTGCTTTAAAGCCAAATTTTCAGTGACAGTTGTGATCTTCTTCTCTTCTTCTTCTAACCTCGTCCGTAGGGACTCGGAGCCAGTTTCTCCGTCTGCAATTCTGACTCTCAGGTTGTGGAGCTGCTCGCGAGCCTCGTCGAGTTCCCCTTCAAGCGCAGCGACACGAGCCTGTTCTTCCCCAAGCTGCTCCCGCAGCTGAGTAGTTGTGGCCTCCTCTTTAGCCAACGATTCCTTGGCTGTTGCGTTCTCATGTCGAAGGTCTTTGACAAGAGCTTGCTCCGCATCCAGATCAGACTTGACAAGAGAGATGTTGGCCTCCACAACTTCAAACTTGGCAACAAGATCGGCGCATTTGCTCATCACGCCCTCTACTAGGTCGCCTCGGTCTTGTGGAATACTGTCCCCTGGAGCGAGCAGACGATGTAGCTCCTGCATGAGCCTTAGATGGGATTCTGCAGTCTGGTCTGTAGACGCCAACCGCTGTGCCAGCGTCCTGTTCTCATCCTGCGCGGAACTGAGCTGCCTGTCCAAGTTCTCACACTGTTCTCGTTGCAGCTTGGATTCTTTTCGAAGGAACTCGACTTGTCCTTCGTACTTGAGTGTTTCATCTCTTGTCTCCTTGGCCAGATGTGCGATCTCATCTTCGAGTGTCTGGACCCTTTCGTCATAAAGAGCCTTTTCATGCTCTCTCGACTCGCCAAAGTGCTCCATTTCGTCCTCATTGTCTTCGATACGGGCTCTAAGCTGCTTGATATCGCTTTCGAGAGATTTGCGCTCTTCGATAAACTCCCTCTTGAGAGCCTCCATGTTCTCTAAAAGGTCCTTCTTCGTGAAATTCGCTTCCTCTATCTGGTCCTTGACGGCCTCATGTTGAGTCGCACGAGCGTTCAGATCCTTCTCAAGGAGGGCGGACCTCTCCTTTTCGGCATTGAGCTCGGCTTCAAGCTGCTGGATGCGTTGTACTAGACCCTCGGGAAGGTCGACAGACAAACGCGTGTGGTCGTCCGGACCTTTTTTCACTGTCGTGGTCGACCCACTACGTTCTGGGAGTTGCTGGCTTGGTGTTTGGAAGAGGTTCCCGAGTGTTGGTCGGGAGGCCTGGCTCTGTCGATGGAGCAAATCTTCCAGTCTTCGCACGCGACTCTCGGCCGCTTTCAATTTACTCTCAACCCTTTGCTTCTCGTCCTGCAATGACCGAAGAGCGTCGTCATCGCCGCGAATAAGCAGGCCACTTCTCCCAAGTGACGCTTCATGGATGCTGCCGTTCTTGAAGGCTTTTAGCCGTTTCGACTGTTGCTTGGTCGGATTACTCAAGTCCATAATTAGCTTGCCAATATCATCGAGCAAGTCCGGCTCAGCCTTTTGCCTTTGCAACGACTCGTAGAATTCTGTCAAGTCCTTTTTGGTCATGCTTGGCCATTCTTCCTCCTGTCCGAGCAAGTTGACCTCCAAGCCAGCTACATTGCTTTCGCCAGACGCCGTTTGAGGACCGTAAAGATTCTCGACCGTTTTAAGCCACTTCTTTCGTCTCTTGATCTCCTCCTCCTTAAATAGGGCCATTTCGTTCGCTAGCGTGGATGCGTCAACCTTCACCTTGTCGTACCATTCCCGGCGTCTCATAGCTTCCGCAGTAAACGATGCATACATGAAGGGTACTTGCTGTATCAGCCTCAGGTAATCAAAGGTGGTGAGCTCTTCCTCTGAGCTGAGAACGTTGATTTGCGATTTCACAGTAGCTGTCAGTGACGTTATACCCGTTATGCTACGCATGAATTCCACGGATTCCAGTGCCAGGGCGTCTCGTGCTTGTGCTGCGTACCGAAGCATTCCGTCCATCTCAAGAGCTCTGGCTCGTATGCTGGGCAGGAGCCGCTCTGTGTGCGTCGCTGCAAGCTTTGACGCCTGCATCACATCTCGTGTGGTGTTGGTATACTCCAAAGTTGTCTGGTAGTCTGCATCAATCTTCTTGGCTACGGCCTCGATGTCCTCCAGAAGTTGGGTAGCTTCTTCCTCATGGGCCATAGCAGAGCGCTCGATGACTCGTTCGAAGTCTCGTGTGATTTCTTGGCAATCCTGGAACATGCGGGTTGCTGTCTTTTCCAAGTCTCCTAAACGCTGGTTGAACTTGCGTAGGGCTTGAGGTGCCTGGCGAGCTGTCCTCCTCACAGTTTCTAGATCCAAGAGGTCCTCCAAGGTTGGCTGACGCGCTGCTTTGTTCTTTGGGTTGATACTCCGGCCTGTCATGAAAGATGCCATCGCCGCAGATATAGGTATGCTCCGAGCAAGGCCCAGGTACGACTCCCATTTGGTAACAAGCGTGCTGTATTCTGACTGTGCAGGAGCCGCCCACTGCCTCAGCTCTTGATATTTAGGCTCTAGAGTTTTGACGACAGATTCGAGGTTTGCGACGGCAGCGTCAAGACAGCGCATCATAACGTCCATCTCCCCATAACGTTCTCCAGTCGTCTGCGCCATCATGGCACATTCGTCCACAACCCTTCCGACCCATGCCCTTCGCGCCCTGAAAAGCTCTTGCCATGACTGCTGTGAGCTGGTATCACTGATCTGGTTCGGGGGGTTTGTCGGGTTGTATGGCTTCGGAAGACCAATCTCGACATTGACAACGGGCGAGCCCCCAGGAGGCGCGGGCTGGGGTATCCGGATATCATAAACGTATATCTCTTTCTGATTCCAAGCGAAGTATCAGCCGGAGTCGCCAGAAACTACGCACAGCAAGCCAATCATACCTCTGCTGGGAGCGTCTGCAGCTTGAGGGGTCTCCCTTGTGGTGTAAGTGCGATGATGTATTGCGGAGGA